GCATTCTCCTGCAGTCCGCGTCGTGGGGGCCTGCGCGAAGAAGGAGGTATTTCTGCGACGACTGTGCTCGCCAGGGGTGAGGTCTACGTGAGTTGTCCTGCGTCTTCTTCCTCGGCGGAGGCTGTGGCTTTGGAGGGGTGTTCGTCGTGCGCCGGGCGGCTGGCTGAGATTGATTGGCAGAGCCAGCGCAGGAGACCTTAAATCCATCGTTGTGACCGCGTTTATCTGTCAGGGCCAGAGGCGCTTGAGGCCGTGCGGACAGTTGAAAAATGTGCAGAATTAGTGCGATTTCTAACGCCTAGGATCTAACGCGATAGATAGGGCCTACGATGCATTATTACAGCACCTTATTTTCAAGGGCGATGTGGACAAGGGCGGGGTGGCGGCCGCGAATCGCCGGGTCGCCGGGTCGCCAGGTCGCCGGGGCGCAGAGATGCCGGGACGCCGGGACGCCGGGTCGCCGGGACGCCGGGACGCCAGGTCGCCGGGTCGCCGCGGGTCCTCGGATCGCCGGATCGCTGGGTCGCCGGGTCGCCGGGTCGCCGGGTCGCCGGGATGCCGGGTCGTCGGGTCGCCGGGTCGCCGGGTCGCCGGGTCGCCGGGACGCCCCGGGACGCCGGGGCGCCGGGACGCCGGGACGCTGGGTCGCCGGGTGGCCGGGTCGCCGGGTCTTCGGATCGCCGGATCGCCGGGTCGCCGGGTCGCCGGGTCGCCGGGTCGCCGGGATGCCGGGTCGCCGGGTCGCCCTGAATCGCCGGGTCGCCGGGTCGCCGGGTCGCCGGGTCGCGGGTCGACGGGTCGTCGCCGGTCGCCGGGTCGCCGGGTCGCCGGGTCGCCGGATCGCCAGTCGCCGGATCGCCGGATCGCCGGGTCGCCGGGTTGCCGGGTCGCCGGGTCGCCGGGTCGCCGGATCGCCGGGTCGCCGGGTCGCCGGGTCGCCGGGTCGCCGGGTCGCCGGGTCGCCGGGTCGCCGGGTCGTTGGGACGCCGCGTCGCCAGGTCGCCGGGTCGCCGGGTCGCCGGGTCGCCGGGACGCCCCGGGACGCCGGGTCGCCGGGACGCCGGGTCGCCGGGTCGCCAGCTCGCCGGGTCGCCGGGTCGCCGGGACGCCAGGTCGCCGGGTCGCTGGGTCGCCAGGACGCCGGGTCGCCGGGTCGCCGGGACGCCGGGTCGCCGCGTGGCCGGGGTGGCGGTCGGCGAATCGCCGGGTCGCCGGGTCGCCGGGTCGCCAGGTCGCGGGTCGCCGCGGGTCGCCGGGTCGCCGGGTCGCCCTGAATCGCCGGGTCGCCGGGTCGCCAGGTCGCCGTGGTCTCTTGGTTCGCCGGTCCAGGTGTCCATGATGAAGACGATTTTGAGATGGTGATGCTAGTGCCGCCGTCGATTCTGTCGCTGACGATTGTGATGCTTTTTGATGACGATGCTGATGGTGATAATGATGGCCTGATGGTGATGGTGATGTTGATGGTGATGGTGATGGTGGTGGTGATTTGATGATGATACTGATGATGACGACGACGACGCTGATGGTGGTGGTGGTCATGATGATGACGATTGGAACCAGGAAGTGGATGATAAGGAGAAGCAAGACGAGGAAGAGGAGGAGGAGGGTAGGGAGGTCAGGCGAAGGACGAGGGTTGGACGGAAGAAGGAAGACGAGGAGGAGGAGGAGGAGGAGAACATTGAGGGGGAGCAGGATGGGGATGAAGGCGATAATTAGCGACACGGACGACGACGGCGACGAATCATCCATACAAGTTTTTGCCGATCTGCCGCTCTTCGGAGCCTCTTCGGAACCGTTTTGGCGCCCTCTTGGGCTCCTCTTGGGGCTTTCTTGGGCCATCCTGGAGCTACCTCAGGGCCTCGGAAGACCATCGGAAGGGAAAATGCGAGACACAAAAAAACACACACACACAAGTGCATTTAAGGTTTTGGAAGGGATTGGGCTTCTTGGGAGTCTTCTTGGGGGTCCATGGCCACCTGGATTCGTCTTGCGAGGTCATCGGGGCCGCCTGGAGTTTCTTGGAAGCTATCTTGAGCCGTCTGGGGATATTCAGAGCCATCTTGGAGGCCAGCTTGGGCTCTCTGGGGCCTTCTTGGAGCCATCTTGGGCCACGTTGGACGCTCCAATGGATCGCCGCCCCTCCCGTCCAAACCCAGGGGGAGGGGTCAGCGGGAGAGGTAAAAACCTCTCCAAAGGGGAAGAAGGGGAGGTTGGAAGGGGTAAGCACTCCCCGAAAGAGAGGGATAGGGCTTCAGGCGATCGCGACAACGACGATTACGGCGAATCTTCTATCATACAGGCTTTCGCGGATCTTCCGCTCTAGGACTCTCTTGGGGGCACTTGGGAGTTGTCGGGCCCTCTTGGAGCTACTTGGGACGTCTTGGACGCTCCAAATGGGTCGCTGCCCCAAATGACGCTCCAAATGGGTCCAAATGGACGCTCCAAATGGGTCTAATGCCAAGCTGTTGGAGAAGACCAACACGGAGGCATGTGAGCAATTGAACTATTGGATCAGCGGCAGGACACGGAATGGCCTGGAGATGACGCGGGGGCACTTCCAAATGCATTGGTGGATCCTTTTTGACGCCCACAACCAATGGCTCGAGCGAGAAGCGGCATGCGAGCGCAGACGTTGCGAGGCGGGGCCCTTGCAGCGCCAGACGAATGGAGCACCTCAGGATGCGGGGGCAGCTAGCAAGTAGGCGTCTAGGCCCGCGCTGACACGGTGGTGGGGCTCCCTGTGGGGCCGCGAAGCGCTGTCCTGGGTGGGGGAGACGCATGCGAATGCAGCAGCTGGGGCCTTCGGTGGAGCTCCCCATGGGGCCGCGAAGCGCTGTGCTGGGTGGCGCGGACTCATGCGAACCCTGCCACTGGGGCCTTCGGTGGACGCCGAAGCGCTGTCCTGGGTGGGGGGAACGCATGCGAACACCCCCTACTGGGCCTTTCGGTGGAGCTCCCTATGGGGCCACGAAGTGCTGTCCTGGGTGGGGGAGACATTAGCCGTGCAAACAGAAGCACACGCATCGCCGCCATCACCGAAGCTCCCAGCAGCAGCAGTATCAAGCTGTCGCGGAACTCCCGAGGGGCGCTGCACGGCGCCGCGCGCCCAAGAGACTTCAGTGTGAACGGCAACAGCTACCATGCAACGGCTCGCGCTCAGTGTGATGTTCGGCTTGGCCTTCAGTGGGGTCTACGTTGCAGCGACTCCGAAGGCCCGCCGTTTAGGACGTGGCGCTGGTGCGTGCCAGCAAGCCCCCGCATTGACGAAAGGAAAGATTCGGACTATATACCGGATCATGGAGAACCAAAACCCATTCCCCGACCAGGCAGTGCGGCGGGCAACGCCGCTCATGTGGGCTGTGGTCCGGCATTGGGCAAGGCGGCCTCTCTGCACGCGTCGCGCGTGTACGTTCACCTCATGATTCTGGTGGCCACAACTCTCGGGGCAGTTCAGCTCAAGTACGGTGGAATCTCATCCCGACACTGCAATCTGCTCATGGTCCAGCACCGCCAACCTGGGGATGGAAAGTCGGTTGCACTGTGGTTGGACGTGCAAGTGCTGGCCTTCTTCGACATGATACGGGAGAGGCGAGCCAAGAAAAAGTACGACGAGGCCGAGCAGAAACACAAGGAGGACCCAGAGAACAACCCACAGCCGGCGAAAAACAAACATGCTAAAGACACCACCTTCAACAAAGGAACGTTCATCGGCCTCGGGAACTTCATGCAGGCGCAAGGGGAGACCGCATTTCTTGCGCTACACGAGGGGAAAACATGGCTACCCCAGACCTTCGACAACGGCCCAGGCGGCGGCATCGACGACCTCAACCAGATTCACGATCATGACATGTACAAGAACCATCCTGGGAATACCCAGAATCGTTTTCTCGTGCGAAACCTGCATTTGTGCGGAGCGGTCATGATGCGCGTCGAAGAAGTGTACGACCAGGCGCAGAAGCCCGACGCCACCGCGGGCATGATGCGTTTCCTGATCGGACATTTCTCAGCCGTTGTCAACAAAATCCGTCCAGACGTGCCGGCAGCTCAACTTACGCGCCTCTTGCTGGACGACCCGGGCTACTTCAACGACCTTGACTACGACGACGTCGTAACCGCCATTGGCAAGGTGATGCTTGTGGCGTCGGCGCTCTATGTGCGAGGCGAGGAACGTGCGGGCGAGAAGGGCAAAACCAACAGGTACTCCAGGGTGCGGGGGGCGCACTTTCTGCCGTGGGCCGAGGACGTCCAGGACCACTTCCGCAAGCAATTCAACCAGGCAGCGGACTACGTGCGCGAGGAGGCACGCGCGTCAAAAGGCGCAGATGAGGGCAGCGAGTATGCCACTGCGCGGAAGGACATGACGAGAACTCTCCAGTACATCCCCCCAGTGGACATCGGGGAGAAGGTCGTCGAGTATTTGCTGAAGAAGGCTGGGAAGACGCCAGAGATTATCAAGGATATGACAGGCGAGGATATCGTGACGTGCCTCGGGCAAAGCACAGTACCTCATGACTTCGTTGACTCTGTGGACGTGACCCGGATCGCCCCAGAGATGCACGCCGCTTCGCGGGGGACACGGCCGGGCAGAATGTCTGTCTGTTTCTTCTGCTGCGGCCCTCCCTTGCCCCCCGCCGCGTTCTCCGCCTTCTCCTGCTCCTCGTCGCCCTCGTCGACTTTCTGCAGGGGGGATCTCATGTGGCACTCTAGGTCCGTCTTGGGACGGTCGTGGGGCACTGTTTAATTGCCTTTGGAGGCCCCCTGGTTCCTCTTGGGGCCCTAGGAGTGAAGCCCAGCTGGGCTTTCTGGGGCCGCTCTTGGTCGTCTCTGGGGTCGTCTTAATTGAGGCCGCCTTTTTGGGATTCCTCGGGCCCCGCTATAGGGCCGTCGTTGGCTCCTCCGGAGGCCTTCTTGTGCACGCTAGGGGCCGCCTTGCGGCTGGCCTAAGGCGTCGTGGAAGAATCCGGGGCTGTCTCGGGGCTCGCGCAGAACGGCGCCCGCAGGGGTAAGCGGATTCAGCGCTCCTCCGTGGACGTGGCGGTAGCCTTGGGGGACTGGTTCTCGGGCAACTTTCGCATGATTATTAATGCGAGGCAAACGGCGCAGACATTCATGCGGGAGCGCGCCGCGCAAGCAGCCATGCCTCCTGCCGCGCTGGCGTCCATCGAGAAGATTGTCGGCCCAGCGGTGTGCGCGAGGGTGAATCTCATGGCGACCCTCCGCAACATCGCCAAGAATTGGGACTTCAAGGCCTTCGCCCAGAATCCATGCACGACGGAGGTCCAGATCCACGCCGTGCACGTGGACCTCATCATCTGGACCATAATGGGCTTCCTCGCAGTGGGCCCTGGGCGCGCGACCCTCGCAGCGCACAAGCGGGACAGCGAGAGCTTCGTCAAGGCGTGCAACAGGATGCTGGACTGGGACCCGGACGTATCCATGGAGGAGTTGCGGCAGATTGTGCCAGAAGCTGACGAGGATACGGTTGGGGGTGATCACTCTGTTGCAGACAGGCCCCGCTTCGAATGCCAATGCTGCCCGTTAGTCTGATTCAGACAGTAAGGTTCTCGTAGATGGCAACCTCGCGTGTGCATAATCGCAATGCGAACAACTTTAAATAACAACTAACGCAATGCAACGCGTCCATAAACCGATCAACAGGAAAGAGCACGCTGGACAACCTTGCCCAACACAACCGAAACAGAAAATACTGTGTTCGAGAAGACGTGCAGGATTGGCATCCGTAGGCTCTGCCGGGGCGTGAAGGACCTGTTGGGGGGCAAGGCGGTGGACTTCTCGAGCTTGCAGTCGATCGAAGCACCCCGCGCCGAGAATATACCGCTTGAGCCCATCCCCGCGTCCCAAGTGGTTCCGGCGACGCCTCCGGAGGCAACGGGGGCTGCGGCGCCCGGTGAGCAGGCGCAGGGAGTGGCGGGACTAACCCAAGCTGCGCCTGGGGCCAATGAGGCCGAGGGGTCGGGGTCGCGGCCGCTGAAGAAGTTGCGCGTGGAGCCGCCCCTGCAGGCGGGGGAGTTCAAGAAAGATGCCGGCCTGCAGAAGAAGATGTTGCTGTCGGTGCTGCAGTCGTCGCAAGTCCGTGCAATTTGAGCAAGAATGCGGGCTCCTTCAAAGGCAACGTCGACACAATCGAAGCGGCGCTCCGCGTGGTGTTCCGCTTCGTGGTGGCTGTTGGGCTGGCTGTGTGGACCCGGGCCAGGAGCAACAGCGGCGTGTCCGTGCGCGGTCCTCCCCCAGCGCACGCCGAGGCCGCGTGCGATGAGATCGCGCAGAAACTCGGTTTGCATGCCCGTGACAAGAGCAAGCTGCAGGAGAGCCTGGGCGCGAAAGCCACGGATGACGATTTCAACGTGGAGGGCCTCAAGCGCGCGATCGCGCTGCTGGGCGACAGCCCGAAAAAAGCGCGAGCACTCGCAGGAGCGGTAGAGCAGAGCGCCTCGCTCCAGGAGCAGTGCATGCAGAGATCTGCGTGTTCTGTGAGACAAAGCGCTCGTTTACAGCAGGGGATCGCACTTCCTCGTTCTCCTCATCCCTTCTCTCTTCCTCCGAAACTTCGGAGAACGCGGTGGCTGGAGGGCCCGCCGCTCTTTTGGCTAATTGGGTCAGCTGTCGCGTGCAAGGCCGAGCTAGTGATTATCAATCGGCGGGGGCGATCCTCCACCCCTTCCCCCTAACTTCCTTTCAATCGGTTACCGCCTGGTCCAGGCAACGAGGCGTCCTGCCGAGGCTACGTTTTCTGGTGCTCTGTGCTTCCGGGCAAGACAATCGTCATCGTTGTCATCATCACCTCGTCATCGTCCTCGCCACCCTCGCAGCCATCATCACGGCCACGATCGCCGACATATCTTGCCATCACCATCAGCATCAGCACCGGTGCTATCATCATCGCCGGCGTCATCATCTGCGTGAATGACATCGCCGTCACAGTATCCATTCTGCCCGTCGTCATCATCTTCTGCACTATCGTCTTCGCCGCCGTCGTCTTCATCATTCCCTTCATCATCCTCATCATGACCGTCGTCCTCACAATCATCCCCTTATGAAGCATCATCGACATCCTCGTCTTCGTCATCATCGTGACCACGACCGTGACCATAATCACCAGCAACCTCGGCATCACCGCCGCGCCACTCATCCTATGTGTCAGCATCATAATCGTCCCCATCGTCGGTGTCGCCACCGCTGTCGTCGTCGTCATTGTCTTCATTATCGCTCTCATCGTTGTTATCATCATCGTCATGCTCACCATCATCGTCATCATCATTACCACTGTGGTCGTCGGTGCCGCAGTCGCCGTCATCGCCATCATTACTCACCTTCGCCATCGTAGTCATGATCGTGCGAATCACCATAATATCACTTGTCATCGTCATCGTCATCGTCGCCATCATCATCGGCATCTTCATCCTCAACATCGTCACCATCATCGTCATCATCATCAACATCGCCAGCATCATCATCATCGTCGTCGCCGTCATCAACTTTGGCGTCAACATGACCAGCAACAGCAACATCATCAACATCGCCATCGTGATCGTCAAGTCTCTGGGACCGACGGGTCACCGGATCGCCGGGTCGCTGGGTCGGCTGCAGGTCGCCGGGTCGCTGGGTCGCCGGGTCGCTGGGTGGCCGGGTCGCCGAGTTACTGGGTCGCCGGGTCGCCGGGTCGCCGGGTCGCCGGGTCGCCGGGCCCTCGGATCGCCGGGTCGCCGGGTCGCCGGGATGCCAGGTCGCCGGATCGCCGGATCGCCGGGTCGCCGGGTCGCTGGGTCGCCGCGTCGCCGGGTCGCGGGGTCGCCGGGAGTGGGGTCGCCGGGAGTCGGGTCGCCGGGAAGCCGGATCGCCGGGAAGCCGGGTCGCCGGGTCGCCGGGTCGCCGGGTCGCCGGGTCGCCGGATCGCCCGATCGCCGGATCGCCGGGTCGCCGGGTCGCCAGGTCGCCAGGTCGCCGGGATGATGCCGGGTCGCCGGGTCGCAGGGTCGCCGGGTCGCCGGGTCTCCGCGTCGCCGCGTCGCCGGGTCGCCGGGTCGCCGGGTCGCCGCGTCGCCGGGTCGCCGGGTCGCACGCCGGGTCGCACGCCGGTCGCCGGGTCGCCCGATCGCCGGATCGCCGGGACGCCGGGTCGCTGGGATGCTGGTTCGCCGCGGTCGCCGGGTCGCCGGGTCGCCGGGAGGCCGGGTCGCCGGGTCGCCGGGTCGCCGAGTCGCCGATCGCCGGATCGACGGATCGCCGGGTCGCCGGGTCGCCGGGTCGCCGGATCGACGGATCGCCGGGTCGCCGGGTCGCCGGGCCGCCGCGTCGCCGGGATGCCGGGTCGCCGGGTCGCCGGGTCGCCGGGTCGCCGGGTCGCCGCGTCGCCGGGTCGCCAGGTCGCCGGGTCGCCGGGATGCCGCGTCGCCGGGTCGCCGGGTCGCCGGGATGCCGTGTCGCCGGGTCGCCGGGTCGCCGGGTCGCCGGGATGCCGTGTCGCTGGGTCGCCGGGTCGCCGGGTCGCCGGGTCGCCGGGGCGCCAGGTCGCCGGGTCGCCGGCACGCCGGGTCGCCGGGTCGCCGGGTCGCCAGGGTGCCGGGTCGCCGTATCGCCGGGACGCCGGGACGCCCGGTGGCCTTGTCGCCGGGTCGCCGGGTCGCCGGGTCGCCGGGTCGCCGGGTCGCCAGGTCGCCGGGTCGCCGCTGGGTCGCCGGCCCTTGTGGAGTTCTCTCTGTTATTTTCACGTGGAGGAACGCGAAGAAGAGGCGTGGCACAGAGACGTGGCGCGCCCCTGTAGAGATCGCATTGGCGAGCTTGGATGGACCCCGTTTACTCTTCCAAGGCGCTGACCGCGCGCGGAGGGGCGGGTTGCTGCTCGCGGGGCGCCGCGTTGAACATTGCGACGACCTTTGCGATGTCGGCGCCGACGGCCGCCGCGTCGATCAACTTCCTGCCGGCAGCGGCGTCGTTGTCTGCCGCGGCGCAGCAAATCGACGAGCGGGAAGCTGGGCCATTCGCAGACGTGGGCGAACATGGGCGAAGCGAGGTGGCGAACCAGCACCGCCGCCAGCGCAGCCATAACCAGCGCCATAACAAACAGGATCGCGATGCTCACGACGTAAGATACTGGAGGCATCATCTCATTTTGCGAAAGCCCGTCGCCATTTCATGGACATGCTGATTCACCGCCTCCGAGCCAAGCAGCCGCCCGCCATGTCAAGCATCGCTGAAGGTATGCCATCGGGCAAAAGGAACCAGAAGATGAAGATGGCCAGCCTGAGGATCACGCATTTATCGGACGCCATTTGGAAGAGCTTCTACGCCGTGAAATATAGCTGGGGATTGGAAAAGAGATTGGAGCAACCCGATTCCCAGTCACTGGCATGGGTTTCTAGCGCATCGGAGACGGGAAGGGGCGCTTATGCTGCAGGGGCAAATTGCACGGTCACTTCGACGGCATAAGACAACGCGGCGTCAACGGGCTGCACGACCTCACGAATGCGTTCTTCTGCCCAGGAGCGGGGGGCCGATTTCATATCGCACAATTACTTGTAGGAGATCTGCGCTCCTTGGCGCGCCAACGACTTGGGGGTGGCGCTGTGCTTATCCAGTGGGGGGATAGAAGGGGGGGCATGTCTATTGCGCCGCGGTGGGCTACGGGGTTCGAGTGAAGCACCGAAACAGTTCGCAGGGGTTTATCATGATTGTGCCCCGGATTGGCAGGACTTCGCGCGGGGCCCAATCATCATGTGCGACGAAACCGAGGGGTCTCACCAGGGCGTATCATCGTCGGGCTTTGCTGATGACATGTTGAAGAAACGCTTCTGCCCATCGGGTGCGGCAGAGGAGGCGATGGGGATGTTTTGATCGGGCTACAATATGCTGGATTTCATGCTTGAACACGGGCGTTTCGTGCTGGGGAAATCCATGAGCGATGCTGCGCCATGTCTTGGGTCTCGCGACGAGACTCGGAAGCTCCGGGAGATGTGCCCGCCGTCCCAGTGCCTGGTCGTTTTGGGCGCGCGCCGCCGCGGTGGCTCATGCGCGAGGACAGGGGGCGTCCAGCTGGAGATCCCCATCCGCGCGCGCGCCGTGGCCGCGGGGTGGCGTTGCCCAGGCTAGTTCTGGAAACAGAGGTGACGATGGGGGCTGAAGAGGGGGGTCTTCTTGGAAGGGGGCGGGGCGCTCGAGTCTGGGGGCTTTCTGTCAGAGGGGGTCCCGGCAGAGGAGACCAGGCTCTCATGCAGTAAAGTAGTTCCGCGCCTGCGATGACCAGCGTCGGGGTTGTCAGGCGCTGAGAGACATTGCAAGTGGCGGCCGAGCTAGCGGCCAGAAGAATTGTGGCATCCGAGCGCGTGTCGCTACAGGGCAGCCTGCAGACGAGCTCTCGTAGCCATTTTCGGGCGCGTTTCGCCGGCCCCCCCGGCCCTGGGCGAAGAAGGCCGCGTCCAATCTACGGCGAATCCCCGGGACTGCCAGTTCTTCAATGACCTCGA